TGTTCGATCATCTCGTGATGATGAATAACAACTAACAATATAATCGGTTATAAAAAGTCAATCATCGATCGTATATATATATATATATATATATATATATATATATATATCGATACTAAAATTAAAAAAAGAAAGAAAAGATTATAAAAAGGATAGATAGATCGTATTACTAATATACTAATCGGTTATGAAATATTGAAAGTAACTAAAATAGATAAAATCGATTGGATTTCAATCGGATCTTTTTATTCTGTTTAATTAAAATAGAATTCTTAAATAGAAATATTTTTATAATAACACTGTATAAAATAATACGTGAATATATAAAAAAGAATATTTTTACGAACGTAACGTGGGATGATTATCGATCGGAACGGTAACTGTGAATGACCAGATAAAAATAATACGAACTCTATATGCGGCGCCGGGAAAAGGAAAACAAATAGAACGTAGGTATTTGGCACGATAGTGATGCATAAGACTTGGCAGACGACGCCATGAAATACGGCAGCGTGAAAGCGGAAATTCGATCGGTCTTCGACATAGTTTCACGTTATTTCGTTTCTCTCGATTTCTTTCGTATTCCCTTTATTTATTTATTTATTTATTTTTTTTTTCTTTTTTTTTTTTGTTCTTTTAATAGACTAATAAATTTTTTACAATAGAAATGAATTCTCATTCTTTATCGATTAATTAAAATTAAATTCGTCGTTCATTTTTATTCGATTAATTTTCATCAATTAATTCACGACGATTACTTTAAGAATTTTGTTTTTCGGATTAATTACGAAAGACTCGATTTGTTATATCAATTAATTCGACGATTATTTCAAATTAATTTATATAAAAGTATCGAGATATAAGATAAGACAGAATTATTTCAGTTTCTGAAAATGAAATTCGCAAGGCAATGACTGAGGGTCGCCATCTCTCGGCGAATAGTCGGACTTCCTTCGCGTTTTTACGCGTTTCCCGTAAAAAGGCGGGAATGGTGAAAACTTCCTATGCATTTATCTCATCATTAATGATCCCATCCATTATTGTTATAGAAATCGAGTGGGTAGATCATTTGAAAAGGCATCAATGAGAAAACATTATGGATTCTTTAAGTATTATGTAAAAATAATTATTCAATCGAACAATAATTGAATTTTTTTTTAGGCCCTAACGGATACTTATATATTTATCTTTATTTTTTTCTTTTTTTTCCTTTTCTTCCTTTTTTTTCTTCTTTTTCTTCTTCTTCTTCTTCTTCTTCTTCTTCCTCTTCCTCTTCTTTTTCAATCGTTTATTTCTACGAGAAAAATAGTATTGTCACGAAACAATATCGCTAAATCTTCGTGAATAAATGATCGAAGTAACGAAAAGAAGGGAAACCGATTCTAAATCATTCGTTGAAACAAAGACTGTGTACTCGAGCTCTCTCGACGATACCTCAAGATAGGTGAAAGACTTCCGCGACTACTCTTTCAAGGAAACCAACGTGGACCAAACTCCCAAGAGCGATTCGTCCCATAGGTAGACCAGATTTATGTGCGAAACTCTCGCGTCGATTTCGTCCCCTTCGTCCGACTGGAGAAACGATCCCTGAGGAAGTCACGAATATCTAGGTACGATCTTAACGATCAAACGCATGAACAAAATTCGAATGAACGTATCGATGGTAAATTATTATATCAAAAATTTAACTCTCAATTTAAATTTCTTACTTAACATTTCGTTTCAAATATATATATATATATTTTTTTTTTTAAAGGATTATGATCAATATAATTTTTATTATTATTTCTACTTCATAGATATTTACTTTAATAATTGTTGTTATATATTTTTTTTCTTATACGAGTTTAATATAAAAAAAAAATAAAAAAATAAAAAAAAAAGAAAGAAAGAAAAAAGAGAACAATAAGAGAAAAAAAAAGGGTTAAATCTTCTACCTCTCGTCGTTAAATAAATAATGATATAACGATACCATTATCATGTAGTGGGATTGTTAGTCTACTTTCGTAACACGCTTTCTGTATTTAGATCATCAATCATTCAATGCTTTCAATAGAACGAAGATACCTTTTGTTATCTCTCATACTCTCGTTAATGGATGAAGAAAAAGATTTCAGTTTAAAATATAATCTATACGTATGACGTAACAAATTATACCAAAAACAAATAATAACGATACTTATTGGACGTTCTGCGATATTAAAAAAAATTTATGAGAGAAGAATTATAATGACGGAACGCGCCAGCTTCGAACGGATGGTACGATAAAAAAGAGCCACGGAAACGGTTCGCCCTAAGATTCCGCGCGTTCCACCTGTCTCCCGAACTGAAAGTAATTTGCTAATTACAAAATTATACAACGGGAATAGAGTCGCGAAGATATCGTTGCATTTCATGCCGATCCTGGTCCCTACCAAACGAATAATTTCAAATATTTCGAATAGTCTCATTAAATTTGTAATAATTAGTTACCACGAATTAAAATTATTAAGATTTTAAT